CCTATTGGTATATATGAGTATAGCCGAAAACTCGTCCTATTGGTATATATTTGGTTGAAGACAGGAGTATAGCAGAACACTTGTCATATTTGTATATATGTGTATAGTAGAACACTCGTCCTATCGGTATGTATGAGTATAGCAGAAAACTCGTCCTATTGGTATATATTTGGTTGAAGGCAAGAGTACAGCAGAACACTCGTCCTATTGGTATATATGAGTATAGCAGAACACNAACATTTATTATTTTGACCGTCTTTTTGTACAGAATCTTCTGTTGCATCACATATCACTGAATTACATGGAATTCTCATCATTTGCACGATAATGTTTATGTTTATTTACAGTTAAAATCTAAGATGGTCACTTTTTGTCTGTTGTCTGTGTATTTGCGAAGACATCTATTTTGTGACAGCTTCTTTCGAAGTAGGCGGTTAGACTAATAAAACTTAATATGTAAGGTGTTATGTGACCATATCTTACCGCTGATAGTTTCCCTAGTTTATTAGTTATCTATAAACTCTCTCATATTATATTTTGCCGTAGTATGTTAATATTTTACTGTTGCTTGTTATTCACTTTAATTTATACCTGAGCTTATTGCATGATTCATTAATTATTTTAAGTCATGACATATATATTCTTTATTGTTTTTTCATATTTATTCTAACTAAGATGCACGGTATAGTGGTTCATAGAAGAGTACAATTTTCATTTACAGATATAGACGAATGTTTTTACCGGATATGCTCATCCAATGCCAATTGTACTAACGTACCTGGTAGTTACACCTGCACATGTCATACCGGATATATCGATATAGGAACTGAGTGTGAAGGTCGGTATATTTTTTTGGGTTTAACTCTCAGAAAAAAAGTCATTCATTTGCAGATGTACCAGATTTATTTAATATTTTACTTTGAAGGAAATAACAATAAAATCATTTTAATACATTTATGAATGATAACAGTTAACTGCGATGATACAATTGATGTAAGGTATTCGTTATACATTGAATAATCTGTTAGAGTTACTTCTCTTCAATTGCAGATATTAACGAGTGTAATACACACCCTTCCCTATGTCCAAGTCATTCCGACTGTGACAATGCAGCTGGCAGCTACACGTGTACATGTAACACAGGGTACGGTATGGTTGATGGCGGGTATTGTGGAGGTATGTCGTGCTGTCTCGATTCCTTAACTATATACAGTATTATTTTACAATGAAAACTCTTGCATTTTGCAGTTTCCTCATTATCAACACAAGAGTTGCCTTATAAATCATGTAAATATAATTATAGCGAAACGCTTATACAAAGTACATGATTGTACCGTGAAAAAAACCCTTTGCGATCCGTCGTTGAAAAGATTTTTATGGGGATCTATCGTTACAGAAAAAGGCTTGTAAACAGATGAGTGGTTGTGTCGTGAAAAGAAGGCTTGTAAACAGTTTAGTGGTTGTGTCGTGAAAAGGAGACTTGTACACCCAACAGACGTTCTGTCGTATCAAATCAAGTGATACATAGCGTGCGTGATTCTGTCGTATCAAAGCAAGTGAAACATAGCGTGCGTGATTATGTCGTACCACAAACCCCCTATTGACATAGCCTGTGATGGAGTGTGTTACCTGTAAGATATGTACAATGACATACTTCTGGATAGTAATATCATTTTGTCAAACCTTTGTATTTCAGATATTGATGAGTGTTTATGGTCACCCTGTATGGAGTTTGCTTCATGTGTCAATTCCGTAGGAAGTTACACGTGTTTGTGTCGGCCTGGCTTCAGCATGGAAGGAAATACATGTGTCGGTACGTAACGAACGAGCTTTGTATGATACGTATAACCTTCTTAATGAAACGTTTAAGTACGTTAAGATTGATAACACAGTACAGCTTCCCACAATGCCAACGAAATGTATCTGTAATTCGAAAAAAGTACTTTCAACAAAATATAAAGACACTATTTTGTCCCAGTATCTCGTCTGTGTCTGCAGAGTTGTCAGAAAAAGCAAGAGAATACTTAAATGTCATTAAACCCATACTTACCTAGAACTAGTAAAGCACAATATCATTTATCATCTCTTAGATATCGATGAATGCCAGAGCAGCCCATGCCAAGGTCATTCCAAGTGTCAGAATAACCACGGAAACTACACATGTGTTTGTGAGAAGGGATTTTTCCAGAGTACACCATACACTTGCATTGGTACGTTCATCATAACTACAGTCCATGCTTTATAGAACATAGTTGGGCGGTGTACTAAAAGACGTGTACATGTTCTTGTTCGCGTTCATTTTTGTTATAATGATAAGGTATATATATAATGCATATCATATTAATTTATTCTATGCTGCTTCTTTTGTAAGCAATGCGGAAATAATGTTTGTTTGGCTTTGCAAGTCAGGCAAAAAAGTAGTGAGATTGAATTGACTCAAATCATTAAATACTAATACATTCGTTATTCTTTTATAGATGCAAGGGTCTTCAATGCTACAATCAAAGTGCTGGGAGTGAATGGCAGTGATGCAGTTTACAGCGACGATTTGACGGATGAGGAGTCCCAGATGCATACATTTGTGACAGGCTCGTTCAAATCCTCGGTATGAGCCACTAATGGTATCGAGATTGTGAGGGCTGGTACCAGTCATACCATTCCTTGATTAATGTTACGAAACTTACTGGCATAAACGAATGGTTTGCTGTTAGTTCTCGATTGCAATGTTTTAACCGAACATAATGAATACAGTACAAAAATCACGTTAATTAATCGGATGAAATTAAATCTGCAATTTTGTCTCTCGATATGTAAACTTACAATTAAAAAAAAATCTTATCATTTCGTATTTTGTCATAAGTATTTTGATATTTTATACGACAACTTTGTTAGGTATTTTAGTTACTCCAGTAGGAATTTGATGTTTTCGATGATACTACTTCGTACGTATTTTAGTTACTCCAGTAGTAATTTGATATTTTCCATGATACTACTTGGTTACGTATTTTAGTTACTCCAATAGTAATTTGATGTTTTACATGATACTTCTTGATTACGTATTTTAGTTACTCCAGTAGTAATTTGATATTTTCCATGATACTACTTGGTTACGTATTTTAGTTACTCCAGTAGTAATTTGATGTTTTCCATGATACTACTTGGTTACGTATTTTAGTTACTCCAGTAGTAATTTGATATTTTCCATGATACTACTTGGTTACGTATTTTAGTTACTCCAGTAGTAATTTGATATTTTCCATGATACTACTTGGTTACGTATTTTAGTTACTCCAGTAGTAATTTGATATTTTCCATGATACTACTTGGTTACGTATTTTAGTTACTCCAGTAGTAATTTGATATTTTCCATGATACTACTTGGTTACGTATTTTAGTTACTCCAGTAGTAATTTGATATTTTCCATGATACTACTTGGTTACGTATTTTAGTTACTCCAGTAGTAATTTGATATTTTCCATGATACTACTTGGTTACGTATTTTAGTTACTCCAGTAGTAATTTGATATTTTCCATGATACTACTTGGTTACGTATTTTAGTTACTCCAGTAGTAATTTGATATTTTCCATGATACTACTTGGTTACGTATTTTAGTTACTCCAGTAGTAATTTGATATTTTCCATGATACTACTTGGTTACGTATTTTAGTTACTCCAGTAGTAATTTGATATTTTCCATGATACTACTTGGTTACGTATTTTAGTTACTCCAGTAGTAATTTGATATTTTCCATGATACTACTTGGTTACGTATTTTAGTTACTCCAGTAGTAATTTGATATTTTCCATGATACTACTTGGTTACGTATTTTAGTTACTCCAGTAGTAATTTGATATTTTCCATGATACTACTTGGTTACGTATTTTAGTTACTCCAGTAGTAATTTGATACTTTCCATGATACTACTTGGTTACGTATTTTAGTTACTCCAGTAGTAATTTGATGTTTTACATGATACTACTTGGTTACGTATTTTAGTTACTCCAGTAGTAATTTGATATTTTCCATGATACTACTTGGTTACGTATTTTAGTTACTCCAGTAGTAATTTGATATTTTCCATGATACTACTTGGTTACGTATTTTAGTTACTCCAGTAGTAATTTGATATTTTCCATGATACTACTTGGTTACGTATTTTAGTTACTCCAGTAGTAATTTGATATTTTCCATGATACTACTTGGTTACGTATTTTAGTTACTCCAGTAGTAATTTGATATTTTCCATGATACTACTTGGTTACGTATTTTAGTTACTCCAGTAGTAATTTGATATTTTCCATGATACTACTTGGTTACGTATTTTAGTTACTCCAGTAGTAATTTGATATTTTCCATGATACTACTTGGTTACGTATTTTAGTTACTCCAGTAGTAATTTGATATTTTCCATGATACTACTTGGTTACGTATTTTAGTTACTCCAGTAGTAATTTGATATTTTCCATGATACTACTTGGTTACGTATTTTAGTTACTCCAGTAGTAATTTGATATTTTCCATGATACTACTTGGTTACGTATTTTAGTTACTCCAGTAGTAATTTGATATTTTCCATGATACTACTTGGTTACGTATTTTAGTTACTCCAGTAGTAATTTGATATTTTCCATGATACTACTTGGTTACGTATTTTAGTTACTCCAGTAGTAATTTGATATTTTCCATGATACTACTTGGTTACGTATTTTAGTTACTCCAGTAGTAATTTGATATTTTCCATGATACTACTTGGTTACGTATTTTAGTTACTCCAGTAGTAATTTGATATTTTCCATGATACTACTTGGTTACGTATTTTAGTTACTCCAGTAGTAATTTGATATTTTCCATGATACTACTTGGTTACGTATTTTAGTTACTCCAGTAGTAATTTGATATTTTCCATGATACTACTTGGTTACGTATTTTAGTTACTCCAGTAGTAATTTGATATTTTCCATGATACTACTTGGTTACGTATTTTAGTTACTCCAGTAGTAATTTGATATTTTCCATGATACTACTTGGTTACGTATTTTAGTTACTCCAGTAGTAATTTGATATTTTCCATGATACTACTTGGTTACGTATTTTAGTTACTCCAGTAGTAATTTGATATTTTCCATGATACTACTTGGTTACGTATTTTAGTTACTCCAGTAGTAATTTGATATTTTCCATGATACTACTTGGTTACGTATTTTAGTTACTCCAGTAGTAATTTGATATTTTCCATGATACTACTTGGTTACGTATTTTAGTTACTCCAGTAGTAATTTGATATTTTCCATGATACTACTTGGTTACGTATTTTAGTTACTCCAGTAGTAATTTGATATTTTCCATGATACTACTTGGTTACGTATTTTAGTTACTCCAGTAGTAATTTGATATTTTCCATGATACTACTTGGTTACGTATTTTAGTTACTCCAGTAGTAATTTGATATTTTCCATGATACTACTTGGTTACGTATTTTAGTTACTCCAGTAGTAATTTGATATTTTCCATGATACTACTTGGTTACGTATTTTAGTTACTCCAGTAGTAATTTGATATTTTCCATGATACTACTTGGTTACGTATTTTAGTTACTCCAGTAGTAATTTGATATTTTCCATGATACTACTTGGTTACGTATTTTAGTTACTCCAGTAGTAATTTGATATTTTCCATGATACTACTTGGTTACGTATTTTAGTTACTCCAGTAGTAATTTGATATTTTCCATGATACTACTTGGTTACGTATTTTAGTTACTCCAGTAGTAATTTGATATTTTCCATGATACTACTTGGTTACGTATTTTAGTTACTCCAGTAGTAATTTGATATTTTCCATGATACTACTTGGTTACGTATTTTAGTTACTCCAGTAGTAATTTGATATTTTCCATGATACTACTTGGTTACGTATTTTAGTTACTCCAGTAGTAATTTGATATTTTCCATGATACTACTTGGTTACGTATTTTAGTTACTCCAGTAGTAATTTGATATTTTACATGATACTACTTGGTTACGTATTTAAGTTACTCCAGTAGTAATTTGATATTTTCCATGATACTACTTGGTTACGTATTTAAGTTACTCCAGTAGTAATTTGATACTTTCCATGATACTACTTGGTTACGTATTTTAGTTACTCCAATAGTAATTTGATGTTTTACATGATACTACTTGGTTACGTATATTAGTTACTCCAGTAGTAATTTGATATTTTACATGATACTACTTGGTTACGTATTTTAGTTACTCCAGTAGTAATTTTATATTTTACATGATACTACTTGGTTACGTATTTTAGTTGCTCCAGTAGTAATTTGATGTTTTCCATGATACTACTTGGTTACGTATTTTTGTTACTCCAGTAGTAATTTGATGTTTTACACAGCCACTTGGTTAAATATTTTAAGGTACTCCAGGTTTTCTCGAGCTCTGGATTTAAAATCGGCTACTTTGGAACAGTGATAGAAAGATATGCACCAGGAAGTATTATCATCATATCAACAGTATATTTACACATCGACAGTACAGCTGAGGAAGGCGACATTGTCGACTCGCTTGTGGCAGGGATCCCTGTACTACGATCAGAAGGGCTCGAGGTCCTACCATCAGATATAACTGTTACAGGTAGATTTTCCGTAGTGATACGCCCGTCGATGACGGGTATTTTTCTGTCGAGACCTCAGTTCATTTGTCGTTATGTACGAAGCATGATCCTTGTTCAATAAAACATGGTCCGGAGGAGATACATATCATTACTGAGGAAATACTTCATGCTGGACAGATATACAGTAAAAAATAAGTTTAAGTTAGGAATATTGATTTATGTTCCATTTATGGTTCTTGTGTAAAATATTTAATGCATAAGTCAAATTAATTTTTAACAAATTAGATTAAGAAGACTACTTTACTGACTGTCTTTTTGTGTAATGTTATTATTTATTCATCAGATCAAAAGAGCATTTTGTCATAAATACTTTATACTGCACCTCTACGCCGCTGCTTTAAAAATGTTAGGTACAGAAACATAAGAATGACGTTAGCTGTTGACAGGACGTTGAACAAAATAAAACAAAACAAAACAAACCAAACTGAAGCATTAGATGGTAGTTGAATCGTTAACAGGCAGTGTTTCTCTTTCCTTACAGCTATAGACGAGTGTGAGAGCGAGGATTGGAACAGCTGTTCCCCGTACTCTGCCTGTACCCAGTCATCGGGTGTGTACATCTGTACCTGTAACTCTGGCTACATGGACATAGGCATGGATAGCGGACAGCCCCAGGGATCAACATGTGCAGGTAAAAAACACAATCAATCCAAAAGCTTTATGTTAACTGAACCTAGCGAAGAAAGTAGAAGTCATTCACATGTCAATTAACACTTCGTATCTTTATAATCTTTTATAAGAATCAACAACTTTTTATTTAAAAGTTTTTACTCGGTGCAAAATATGCACTTTGTTTTTCTTATGTCTGCCAGTTTACCGTCAATGTAAGTTATAGAATAAATAATAATTACATAAATCATGATGCAAATTGTTGAGTTCAACGTATGCACTGAAACTATTGTACATTGTACGTTGTTGATAGTGATTGACGAGACCAACCAGGACCCAATAGTAGGCTTTGTTTTGACGACTGAACACCATTTCTACCGTGTGGGAGATACCGTCAGGTTTACTCTTCAGCTCACCAGAGGATCACATGTCGAGTACACTGCTGATTACGGGGATGGAGAAGTATATATTGTCAACGATCCAGAGGAACTTGCTTTCATTTCGCCAGTGTCCTTAACACATAGGTTAGATTTGGTTATATATCTTACAATGTCTCTCATGATTGTATGTGTCGTTCGTTTCTTTGCCTATTACAGAAATCGAAAGCTTTTAAAGAGCAGTTAATAGCGGTAAAATGCGGAAGTTTTCGTTATCGTGTGGTTGCTTATACTAGATACATAAAAACTGAATATTGAAGAAAGAAATATATTTTGCAGGTATTCTTCTGCTGGAAACTATACAGTTGATATTTCTGCAAGGAACACCCCTTCCCACCACACAGTTAGTCAACACGTGTTTATCCAAGATGGTATTTCAAACTTGCTCCTGACTTGTAAAGAACGAAACCTGTCTTATCCGGGAGACATCGACTTTGTGATCACCTCCAAGTCTTTGATATCATTCGCGGACCTCCACATGCGGTTTATGTTTGGTGACGGTGAAACCCTGTATGAGTATGTCGGTTATGCTCAATACGACTCGCTCTTCACGTTCAGACATACGTTCAACCCTGGGGTTTACCAAACCACCTTAAACATATCCAACATGGTGAGTTTTCTGATTACAAAGAAAATGTTTATTATCGAAGAGCCTATTTCAGGACTGAGTGTCTCCAGTAGTAAATACGTTCTAGCCCGTGGAACAGAAATAGTGATTTCACTGAGGACACTAACAGGATCTAATATAACATTTCATGTAGATTTCGGAAATAACGAAAGTACTTCTCTGTCATTAAACAACATTCGCCGTGGACCTTCGTCTGTCCATCTACCATTCACATACACAGATGTGGGAACTTATAACGTAACAGTCATTGCTCATAACACCAACTCTTCTAAGACAGCGGTATCTGATCTTATCTTCGTACAGAATCCTGTTATAGACGTTGTTTTAAAGGTATCTAATCCCCTAATATTGTCTCCACCTGGTGATATATACGCTGAACTCTCATACGTTGGAGATAAAGATCCGCCATCGCACGTGTTATGCATGATATTGTTGAACAACACGTACTCTTCGAGTGTTTACATAGAACTAATGGATAATGCTAATCCGTCCTACCTTAATTCATCTTGGGATACCGCCGAATCTGTAGGAGATGTAGAACTGTTTGTAAATTGTTCTAACAAATTGAATGCAGCACTGATTATTAACTGGATCAGCATCCAAAGAAAAATAGAGGGGTTATCGATTAATGTAAACAAATTGTACATACCTGTAAATGGACAGATCGATTTCGATTTCTTTATTGGTGTTGCGTCGCATGCCAAATACGAAATATCGTTCAAAGATGGCCACGTTGTATCGGGAGCGTTAGATCAAGATATATTCTTCAATAGGCAGATATCATTAACCCACACGTTTCGGCAGAAAGGAATATACGCTGTGACTTTCATTGTTAGAAACGCTGTGTGGACAGCATCAGTTGATATAGACATTTGGGTACTGACAGAGGTGAAGGGACTGGCATTCGTGAGATATTATGCTATGTCCGATAAGTTCGACTTATCCAACTACGGACACGGCGACAAAAGTAACATATTTCCGCTGGAAAGGGATCTCATATTAAACGCCTCAGTGTCGAGCGGCAATCATCTGACGTTCTCCTGGAATTTTGGAGACGGCGTGTCCTTGGCAACCTATGATGAAGTTATGAGGCGGAAGTTTATTAGTCCAGGCACGTACAACGTTACACTGAACGCTTCCAATCCTTTGTTTTCTGCCTCAGAAAATGCTGTCATTACCTTCCAGCATATCGTTCTGATGCAACATATAACAAACGACGGTCCGTCAGATGCGTTTGAATTAATTACGTTTGAATTGGAATTAGCACGACCTGGAACTGATTCCTGTTTTATTTGGTACATGGGTGACGATTCTCAGGAAACAATTTATGGCGAAAGTGAATGCGAAGACGTCGCGAGAACAAACAAATACTACTATATAAACTGGTCACCAACTGGAGTTCTGCAGCATTCGCATATGTATAGAACCAATGGTACCTTTATCGTGAATGTGACAGGATTCAACGAAGTGTCAACTCAGACCGTCACTGATTTGGCAATCATAACTGGAATAAGTTGTTTCTATCCTAAGGTCAATATTGAGGGAGGTGGGCAGCAAATCGATCTTCCAGTACATCACCACAAATCAAAGAGAATCATTCTTCAGAGCACAGCGGAGATCAACTGTAATTCTTCTAAGGAGGTGAGCTACGAGTGGAATATTTACAAGATCGATGAAGGTAAAACGTATTTGGACTACATCTTTCAAGAATACCCAATACATCTCGTGGCTACTGATCACTTTAGAATACTGTTACCACCAAGTACCTTTCTGGCTGGTCAATATAAGATAGTTTTGAACGTGTCCATGTTTGAGATTCACGGGCTATCCTCTGTCCATTTCACGTACTTGAACATCACCGACACGCCACTGTCTCTCCGTTTTGTCGGCGGCATCATGCGAAGCGTCGGCTTTAACACTGAGTTTGTCATTGATGCTTTGTCCAATACATACGATCCGGATGTCCTCGATACTGCAAACAAAACGGGATTAACATTTACATGGAGGTGTCGTCTCTCACACGAAACGTTTCCAGACGATAGTTTAGCATATGTAGAGATCCCGACCACTGAACAGCGGCAAAACATGACTTGGGGACAAGGCTGTTTTGGAACGGGAATCGGCAATTTGAACTGGACAGCTGGAATATTGCCGTTGAATTCGTTCCTATTACAACCTCGAACTGAAAATGTATTTGAGGTGGTTGTACAGAAACGCGATAGAGCGTCGACTGCCCAGCAAACTTTAGTTGTTATAGATGGAAAACCTAAGCAGTTAAATATCAAGTAAGTAAATATCCTTATGATCATTAAAAAGTGTGAATAGCAAAAATACAAATATTATTTTTTATTAAATTACTTTTAAACATTAACGTGAAGTGTTCTTATGAAGGCACATACATGTCAGTTATAAACCCATATTCCAAACACGAGATGTGATAAATTCATAGAAATTATTTTTGATGTGAATTAAACTGTAATACCGAGGTGAATTACTTACAGGTGTGAGATCAATTGTAATACCAAGATGAATCCCTCGGGTGAATTCCTCCTGCTTGGACGCTGTCGTGACTGTAGCCAGTTTGATAACATACAGTTTAAATGGTCCTTATTTCTGGAAAATCTGACTACGCAGAAATTCAAAGAAGTCGTTGAGCTTAAAGAATTCGCAGAAGGGGGTAGGTATAGACGATATTTCTATAACAAACGTTCGAGATATTCTACAATCAATTATCAGCAGATGAAAAAGGGAACATGCAGAACTATTTTGTTACCTGCAATCATACAAAATATGCAAGGTATGTGCATGCATGCCAACTCCATTTTCAAGTGTCATATATCATATATAAGTATAACATAATAGGTATTATTTGTATTACATAAATTGTAAGTTATCATTATAGAAATATTGCTTGTGTGGTTTTTTTATAAACTCGATCATCGTTCTACCAGTGTAACTTTACTGTTTTAAACGTTATACAATTTCAATTAGCACAATACTATTACATGTTTAGCTTCTAAGACAAATTGGGTAATTATAACAATGTTTGTACTTACGTTTCGATTTTATTAATGTAATATTGTTTTGTGTTTTGTATATAGTACAATTTCAATTATAAGATATGTTACATGTTTCACATGCACTACAAGTTTGGTTATTATGACACTGTTACATGTTCTAAATGTAATGTAATTCTGATCAATAAACAAATGCTATGTGTTTAACAGAGATTACAAATTTTATCATTTTAACACTTTCATGTGTTTTACAGATATCACAAGTTCAGTATTGGTGTTGAAACCGGCGACATTGACAGGGGGCAGGGTATACCGCCTTAAACTGGAAGCACAGGTGCATGGCTATGCAGATTCTTTTACCGTGTACGAGTTTGTTACCAATTTACCTCCCTATGGTGGCATGTGTAATGTGATTCCTGAAAAAGGTGAGGAAAGGTCACATAAAGTTACAATGATCAACAAAGAATACCATACTTAAATGATAATGTAAGAGAATCTCTCCAGCTACATTCTTTTTTAATTTATCATTCCATATGCCTACAGTTTTATAACACTCACACACATGAATAACTTTATTTGTATCATAAATTGTTATGTACGTTATTGCGGCGAATACGATTCTTTATTTTAACATTAAAGTTTGCATAATTTACAACAGGGTTTGCTCTTGAAACATCTTTCACGATCGCCTGTCATGGCTGGAAGAATCATGGCGAGGATCAAGATCATTTGTTGTACACGTTTTGGTTAAGACCCGTGGATAGCAACCATCTCCAGCTGTTGTATTATGGAACCCACCCGTACACGCCCGACTCACAGTTTCCTTTGGGACCCAGTAAACATGACCACATTATCGACATTATCGTTAGAATCCAGAATCCAATTGGAGAATACGTTGAATACCGATTGGAAGTTCAGGTATTTATCGCAAAATCTATTTTTTTCGAAAAAGTAATAGATACACGGTAATAATCGACCAGTCTTACGATTTTCGTTCTTTTTTGTACATGGAAAATAACATGTTATCATTTGCCTTCTTTAACCGTCTGCATAATTGTAGGAGGCCATTTTATTCCAGAATATTTATTTCATTCCTAGTGGCTATTTTGTCACACATAACGATTACCTGTTGCTACCGTTTTGTCCTGGGTAACTTAATTTTATTGATGAGCAGTTCGGACCTAAAGTATCGTACATACCGGAGACATGTAACTGTATTTACTCGTTAAAAGACATATGTTGTCTTTACACAAAATGTTTGACCTTTGATGTACTTGAAGGTGATGAACCCATCTGAGGGAAAACAAGTTGACTCGCTGATAGGACTGGCCTCTGGGGATAACAACGAGATTTCAAGTCTATTGTCGTCGGGGAAAAGTCAGGAGGCCAAGCAGCTGATCGTGGCTATGGTTTCCCTTATCAATGATTCACCGCTTAATGTGAGTAATCTGTTTTATAGCGTATGGCTTTCCTTGTTAATAAAGTGTGGTGTATGACAGGAAGAAACAGAAATGTCTGCACTAACAAAACCAACGTAAATTATTTTGCTTTATCGCACTATATGAACATGATGACACGCTGTATCACAATAAAGTCTAAATACATTATGTAAGAAGTTGTAATGTTTTTCACTGTCGGCCTCCCGATTAAAACAAATATTCATGTATAACTGGAACAGGTTTCCCTTACAGACATCGGATGAAGACGGAAGGCGTTAATTGTACACACACAAATATTCTTTTTGTTTGATGTACAGGTCGTGACATTCATATGAACTTCGTCCACATTGAAATGTCATATTGACGTTATGACGTCATGAATTCCTACCCTAGTTTTGATTTTAAAATGGATTCCATGTATCCATAGCAACTTCATTTATATATATTATAAGTATAATGTGAGAAATAAGTCCCCTAACTTGTGACGATTGCTTGAAATTGGAATGTCCTTTGAGTTTAAAAAAAAAATACTTACTCGGATCAAATAAACAAAACAACCAATCAGCATTCGCTGGTGAATCTCCTCTAAACAGGATCTTATAAACCAAAAATGAAAGAGACAATGGTGGGACCTGTTTACCTCTATTCCTCGAATGACCAATGTTGAATGATACGTATGTAACATTATAATAACGAATCGTTACTTCTATATTGCATTTCTGTTAATATATTTCTATATCAGTTTGCGGAAGTCGACCAGAGTGTGGTGGTAAATCCAACAACTGCTCGACAGCCCAATCAAACGAATATTAATACAATACAAGTTGATACCACAACGCTCGAAACCACCAGCGCGACTAGTTCGAGCTCCACCGGTTCAAAAGTCTCGACAATTATTACAACTACAGTCGATCCAGTCAAAGCCGAGGAGGAAAGACTGAAAAAAGAACAAGAAGAAAAAGAGAAACGCATACAGGTACACATTGCCTTAAGACTAAAACACAGTGTAATGTTTCTAATGATACAAAATTTCTTATATACAATAATCTTATATACTCTTTCGAGAAATATGTTAGTTAATACGATTATTTCAAACATGTGTTGTAAGGGTAAGTTATAATTCATTCTGGCTACTACTCAGACTCGTGTACTGTGATAATCAGCGTTTTCCTTAAACAACACAGATTGTATAACACCTTGTGTTTTATTTCGTCAATTGTGGTAGTTACTTTTCCTTTTGTTGCGCAGTTTCGTGAGGTACTGGCCACCACTCTAGAACAGCAGACCAACTCCCTGACAATAAACTCCCTACAACAAACGGCTATGTGCTTTGCTGTGGTGACACACGAGACAACAGAGCTTTCCGACAACACACAGGTATGACCGCACGTATACCAAAGCTCAGTATAACAACTTACAGATTAAGTGGTTTATAGATTATCACACTATGTTTTCAGAGTTTGTCGCGAGAACAATTTTCTCATCGCGAGCACGTGGATTAAATCAAGAGGCCACCGCCACCGAACGACAAACCTTAAAAATATTGTGTAATAAATTGTTTATCATCTCTATACTACTACCTCATATAAAAAGTCAACTAAACACCAGATTTTCCAAACGACTTCTAGGCTCAATGGTCATCGATCACAAATCCTCGGCCTGTGACAAACGTAAACAAATAGAAGATTTGCGCGGACGATTACCATGAACCTTAACACTAAGTAGATACAAATCCGTTCATAAGTTGTTCTCAAGTTCTCAACTTCTTCTCATTGTGAAAACCATAATAATTAATTTATCATACTACCGGTAGGTGGTATAAAGTAGTAAATAAGTGATAAATGTAATTATCATTTATGAAAAGTGTTTCAGTATTGCATTACCTTTATCTATATTAACAGTTATAAAACAAATTCGGGAAACAATCTGTTTTCCTTAATAATCAACCAACTTTAAATGATAGGACGTCAAAATGTTCATCACGAGGATTTCACCGCCGGGTAGAGTATACTGAGATTAGCGACTTAATGGTTTAGGCCACGCTCTATATAATCTTGTTCTGGTGTTTTCCATTTGATACGTATTTTTGGTACACCAGGCAACAATATACAAAACAGTGTTTATCAAATTTAAAGCAAATTGTTTGATTTGTGCGGATAATAATGCTCAGTTTGGTTTTCAAGGTTTTTAAGAGTGGTAGTCCTATAAAACTTAGAGCACAAAGTTGTATAACGACAATGGCAATGTAGTTAATTAGAAAGCAAATACTATCAACATATACTTTTCTGTTTATCAACAATCAGGACAGTGTAGTGAATTCCATGCTGAAAATGGCGAACTCTCTAGACGAATTCGTGGATAATTCAAAGTCTGAATCGATGGATCAAGAATGGAACACTGCAGTGGGTATGTACGAACTATATAGGTAAATCATGTTCTTTTATTATCTTACACATCCTGAATTTGACGTCAACCGAATTTAATACTTACATTCACAATGATTTGTGATTTGACTTGGTTTTAATATATACGTATTGCTGCTAGACATGTTGTCTTCCCTTGGGAGTGTTGCTAAGGCCGCCGTTGACATGTCCCTGGAGGGGAGCCCCTATGTTACCGATACCAGACAAACGCAGAGCCCAACACAGCCAGCAGGAAGCAATAATAGTAATACTACGCAGGCGCATTCCACAACGACGCAAACAACTCGGTCGACTACCCTATCCGATAAAGAAATTCGAAGACAAAAGGTGAAGTCACGATTAATATAAACATTCATTTGATTTAGACATGTTGAACCTGAAGGCTGATGGTCAAAAACTTTTGTTGTCTGAAACTTTAGTAAACAAAATGTCGAATTTTAGAGAATAAGGTGAGATAATTGTCTTAATATAACCACTTACGAGTGTTTTGATGATAGTATTCCAACCGCGATGTGTAAACGGCTTTTGAGTAAACAGGTCTCTCTTTAGTACATTTTGCGTATAATGAATAAAAAAAATGCAAACATATTGGTAAATATGAAGACCAATTGCCTCTACTCTGGTAAAATGAATAGTACAAATAATAGACCAGTGAAGAGTTTTAGAGAGGTATGGTTTGGTACCTATTTTCCGTAATTCAAAAATGGATTGTTATGAAGAAGTACAGCTAAGCAATATGCTTGATGTACTGACGTTTCCTATATAATGAATGAGTTGAAAAACATACTTGTGAATAAATCCTCTGTCGTTTTTTAACATTAATCTGTTGCACTATAGGTAAAAGAAATAACTACTAAGGTTCTGCAAGTGGCAGAGATATTGTACCAGGCCGCCATAAAGACACGTTTCCCTGGTGGCCCACCACTACGCCTCGAAGCAGAGCATTTATCTATGGTTGCAGAAAGGAGAGAGGTTAGCAAGCTGCTAAAGGCAGTAGTAAACGTCACGAGCGGCGCCTTTGCCATGCCATCTTCAGATGAAATCATCAGTAGCAGTGCAAACACGTCTTACATTGATTCCAAGGTAATGTAAAAGATCAGAACAGTAAACAACGATGTCTGCTCGTATTATGTTATGTGTAACGTATTTACAGAGAAATCAAGATTGTTTTCCCCAAGACATATCCGAACGATGAGGTTATCAATAATTTATTAATATGAGTAAAAGTAATAGCTACATGGACATTGAATAATGGTGAAAATGGTGCAAGTATATTTTATTGCGTTATGCAGGTTTTAAGTGCAAGTCAGAACACCTACGTTTGGGACGACAGCTCCTCGAAGATAAAGACCCCAGTACTCTCTCTGTCTCTGTACGACAGTGATAAGAATGAAATTCCTATAGCAGACCTAGAGGAAGATATCACCATAGATATAACCATTCCTTCCGAGATTTCTAACAACGTCCGAATGAGTAGCGTCTCCAATTTGGATGAAAAACTTTTACAGTTTGTCGTAGAGGCGGGCTCTAATGATACTTCAATTCACTTTATTATCCGGCCCGAGGGATACGTCCCCCTTGAAGTGTATGTAAGGTACAATGACCCTCCCACTGTGGATACCTATGACGATATATTCAGCATCCCACGGCATGATGCAGTACCTGACAGTGTCGAGGACGCTGATATGCGGGATGAACTGGCTCACACTGTATTCATATCACCGGAATTTGTACAGAAGCATGGTATAGGGTCTTACGTAATCGCCATTAAACCTTTCGGTAAGCCCTTTTATACTTAAAAAGAAAAAGAAAAAAAACGGACGAGACACGCATATATTGTTTTTAATATTTAGAAATGAAACACTTGACTGACACATCTTGACCAGTAAGATCCTTTACAAAATAACAATCATGTCTTTTATTAATTAGGATTTTTATTCTCAAACAGCTTTTTAAATGTAACCATTTGCTTTTATGTAAATGTTGAATTTGTATTTTACAGAAAACAAAACGGATGAAGTTGAAACATATGATGAATACTATGCTGACTACATAGGACCTACGGTTAAGGAAGAAATACGAGTCAACTTTAGTATTACATACAGAACATCAGGATGCTCATTCTGGAATGTAGCAGAGGAGAAGTGGATGTCCAATGGCTGTAGGGTAAGATTAGATGATTTAATTGGCGGTGGTAGTATTACACCTACATTTTAGGAGCATCCTGTTTCGCTTACGGTCACTAAGGGATTCATGGTCTCTGTCTTTTTCATTTGTTGTTTCAAAAGTTCCTGTATTCGAAATAAGGTTTTGACAGTTTGTATTTTTTTCTCCTGCTTAACATAAACCCATGCGACTAATAGTGTCTTATGTTTACATGTGTAATTATGTTATGTTTACATGTGTAATTGTGTTATCGTGATCTGATAATTAACACCTGTTTGTCTTACCATCAGCTTTCTTTTAACAAAGGCTTAAATATAGTAAACTCTGTCATATTAAATGGATGGTAAAATGCGTTTCCAAATTAACACTGTTTTTGAAGTAATGCTTTATTTATCTACATCCAATCCAGGATTTTTATCGTCATAGTGTAAACTTCGTTATTTGTTTGTTCTGTACTACGACAACATACTTTCCTATTCTACTGTGTAGTAAATTCCCAGCATGTCCGAAAGGACCTTTATAACTTGATAAACTTTAACTTATCGTCTTATTTCTTTGATGTCATTTATTTGATTTGTTTTGTCTGAATGTCTGTAATTACGACAGCCATTTAAGGGAAGACTAGCTTTTCACTGATGGGTTATACAAAAGAAATAATATTATTGAAACATTTTGTTAAATGACATGCTTGTGCACAATTGTTTTTAGGCTTCAATTATTCTCATTTATCACTAATAGTTAAAAACATGTATATATAAATATGCCTACGAGCTATAAATATACACATATATATATATACATGGGGCAAAGAAGTAATTCCATCAGTGTGGACAAGTTTAATTTAGGTTGTCAAATTTTCGGAGCGATCCGCACCTTTATCAAGACACAGTGAAACAGAATAGTTACATGTACATATACATCATATTACAAGAAGATATAACTGATATACTATAATTGAAAATATAGCTATTATATAAAACCAATAGTCCTCTCGGCTAAAGACAGCCGAAGGCAGCAATTAAGCTGAGAGCATGGCGGACAAGAAACGCTGATGTACAGGACCTATTCTTGCGCAAGATTCACTATATCAATTGTATCTCAATTTTTGTCAGCACCATTTTTTATTTTTTTTTCTCATGTCACTTGCACTCACCATTCTCATCCACATTGCAATCTTCATTATTTTGGAGGAAATAAAGATATGAATTAATGAATGTGGGAATCTGGCCCGGTAAATGTGAAAAATATCAATTTCCTGCGGAATACACTCATTAGTCGCCTCTCAATTCTGCAGTGGATTTAGCAGTCACAGCAGGGGGGTCCACACTTAGTCGCCTCTTTCGGTTTGCAGGAATAATGCATGTAGTTATCAAATAAGTGAGTGCAGGAGGAATAAGTAGTTATATGGGATTTTACCGTCTATATTACTTCTTTGACCCATATATATATATACAAATATACATAGAATAATAGCGACCGAGAGGCCCTAGTTTTAACCCCCAGATCAGTAAATATATCTTCAATTCACCATGCGTATTTCCCTCGAAATGTTCTGCTACATTTACAAGCATTCAATACGTATATAATCATTTTGTTGTGTTATAGAATTATATATTTATATCTTATTCTTTTTCTACACCATACAATTTAATGTTTTTTTCCAATTTATTTATTATTTTTTCTTGACATGAATTTATTTATTAATCATTAGTATTAACACATGTTTTGTTAACTCCAGGTCAGTCCACTTTCGAACAGCAAATTTACGAGGTGTCTTTGTAACCATTTAACATCCTTCGGGGCTGATTTCTACACACCGCCTAACAAGATAAATTTTAACACTGTATTCGACAACTTGGGCGCAAAGATCGCTGACAACTGGGCAGTCCTGGCCACACTTGTCGCCATCTTTGTCTTATTCTTCATATTGGCTGTATGGGCACGTCACAAAGATAAACTTGATATCGTTAAGGTAGGTAATTCTGTAACAGTATCTGTTATGTAGACTGTATAACCACAACTTGGTGTAAGTTAAATGTTTCATATTGTTCTTAGTGATATGTGTTTGTGCGCTGAAATAACAGTCCATAAAATCTAAAATCCTGCTGTTTATGAAGTGAGATTTTTCTACGTGTGGTATACCAACAGAGACTGTAACTAGTCGTGTACAAGATAAGAAATAAAACCGGTGATACGTTAATGGGAATTGTAAGTTACGTGTATAATTGACAAAGGAGAAGAATACATGCAAGTTAAACCAAATTTACCTTATATTGCAAGGATTTAAAGCAAGTGATGCAATCGAGATTGAAAATAATGTTTCAAAAAAGCGAATAAGTTTTAGATGTTTGTATGTATATAGAATTCCATATATGGTTTTATTGGGGGGTTTTTCAGTGGGGCGTGGCTCCATTAGCAGACAACGTGGTTAGTGACCCGTACTATTACCAGATCGCGGTATTTACTGGGATGAGGAGAGGCGGGGGCACCAAGTCAAAGATCAGCTTTGTACTGGCCGGTGATAATGAGGACACGGGTGTACGACATCTCACGGACGAAAAAGGAATCAAGGTACGCATACATTGTATTTGAGAAAATACAACGGCAACATATTTATTACAAAATTGCTTTGAACATTGTCTTATTGCACAGATATGTTGGTTTAAAAAGCGGTCTATATGTTTAATAAATGCGTACTGTAAATGACATTTACATAATCGCTAGAAATATATAATAAGGAAGCAACTATTTGAATAATTTAGAATGCTGGTGCATAGTGTAAACAATTTAATGCACTTTATTCCAGTGTTGTCCATTAAATAAAATTTAATATGGTTCATAACCCAATGCGGATCTGCTTTGCTATTCTTTAAAATTTGTTTTGTCAGGTTTGTAGTAGGGGCAGCGTGAACAACTACGTGATGAGTTCCCAGCAGTGGTTGGGACCTCTTACGTACTTACGTATCTGGCATGACAATAAAGGAAAAGGAAAACACCAGGGATGGTATCTCAGCAAGGTCGTTGTATCTGACCTTCAGACAGGGCAAACGTAAGATTTAAGTAACATAATTCTCATCTTAAAATAATCCTGCACTGTAAACATCACTCCTCTGGATATTAATTTGAATGTTTTATTTACAGAGCTTTTTGCGTTCGTGTTCACGAAATGTTCATAAAACTGCACGGATAGTTCACATTGTATGCATATCTAGTGTACTTTTAACATAAATTAAGCGACAACATGAAGAACGCGTGGATAGCGTTTGTGACACACGGTGTGTAAATAACTACCTGTGTTTTGTATTTTTATTGAAGGTATTTTTTCTTGTGCAATCGTTGGTTGGCGGTAGAGGAGGATGATGGAATGATTGATCGGATGTTACCCGTGGCTGGAACAGAGGACCTCACTAAATTCAATACTCTATTCTTGACCAAGACGAAGCGGAGCCTCACTGATTCTCATCTGTGGGTATCAGTATTCTCTCGACCGCAGCGAAGTCACTTCACGAGAGTTCAGCGTTTATCCTGCATTCTGTCTCTGGTGATGACGACAATGGTAGCTAACGCTATGTTCTATAGAACAGAGGATAATGTTGAGAACAAAGAATCATTCGTAATAGGACCGATCGAGTTTTCTCTTAGCGGACTTTACATCAGTTTCATTAGTAGTCTAGTTGTCTTACCTGTTAACTTGATCATCGATAACATATTCCGTAAAACAAGACCACGACAAAATAAAGTAACGAATTCATTTGTGAGTAATATCCAGCCCTTGAGAACTCTCTCACAGGTAGACCTTAGGCCATGCAAGGTAGATGATGACACCAAAATATCTGATGTGACAGACGATGATTTCGACGTCCAAAAGAAAAATCTAAAAAGTGAATCTGCAAACACAATTGGCGGAGTATCAACAGCCTCGGATAAAGCATTGATTAGTAGGGGATCCGTATCAAGGCCAGCGACCGCAAACCCTAAACAGCCGAAGGCAAACTTCAGCCTCCCGCCGCCATGTATATATATAGCATGGACCCTAGTGTTTTTGTCTTCTGTGATATCCGGCTTCATCACCTTCCTCTACAGCATGGAATGGGGAAAGGAGAAGTCGCTGGCATGGCTGTCAGCAATGTTGCTGTCTATCGGAGAGTCAATTACGGTGATCCAACCAACAAAGGTGATCATGATATATGTATTAACATTTCAAAAGTGTTTTGCATTTATTTTCTGTATCTGCAATTTATGTCATCATACTATGAGTTATTGTTTTTGACTCTTTGCTTTAGAAATAACGTGTGCAATGTGACGTCAAAACTAAGGGAAAGAAAAATTGATCAATATCCTGTTAGTGATCAGTTATAATATACTGTACTATGTATCTAATCTATCAAGCTTAATATCATATACTACCTACCGACTGGTCAATCTGAATCATTTTCATTAATCACGCTATATCTCCTTAATTCATAAGAATGGTGTGCATTAACTAGTGTAACACGCATGCAGAGAAAGCGGCTTTAAAGAACAGGTTTTATTATCAACAGATCATCACTATTGCTGTCATCATATCCGCCCTGTTGAAGAAACCGGATGTAGAAGAGGTCGTGGACAATGACGACACGCAAATGGCACCAAAGCCTGACGAGGAACTTCTGTTTACAAAACCGACCAAAGGTAGGGTAGTTAACCATCTGGAGCAATACATAGAACGAGCGATTTTAGGTAGATCACAACGTTCTTTTGAAATAATCATGTCATTTATGATACCTTTTACTTTTGTTGCAGCACTTCGTCCTCATGTAAAAGTGGATGCACCAGATCCGGAGAAACTGGCAGAGGCTCGAAAAAAACGCCTAAACGAGATCCATATGCACCAAATCATCAGAGAAGTTATCTTCTACTTCATCTTCTTGGCACTGATATTACTGGTGGCTAGTCATAGTAGGGATCCAAAAGCCTTCAATGTAAAGACTGCCATTCTGAATATGGTCAACCCAAAAAACGCATTGATTAAGGTAGGAACCTGTAATAAAGATGTTTGCATTGATGTTATATTTGAACTTTGAGGTACCAATTATATATCAAAAAAAAGAATAATCTCCTTAAAACAAGATAGTGTACAGCTGATTTCAGACCACCATCACCAGATGGTAGGTTATTCAAATCACCCTTCTTCCGTGGTCCGTCCGTCCTTCATTCTTTCCGTCCGTCCTTAATCATTTCCTGTTAGTGCTATTTCTCAGAAAATACTAGAGGGAACTTTCTGCAATTTCCTTTGTTTCGCTTAATGAATGTTGGTACTAATCAGAAAACTCAGACGGCTGACAGGTGGCCATCTTAAACTTTCAAAGTTGAAGTTTGTTAGCGCCATTTCTCAGAAAGTACTGGAAGGGTCTTTCTCAAATTTCACATGAATGTTTCTAAGGTTGCCTAGAAATATTGGTGTCGTATCTCTTGAATCTTGAAAGGACAGGTATCAGCCTAGCGATTGGTTATGGCGTTTTTACTTGAGACCCAGGAAATAAAGATTGCCGACTGGCGGCTATCTTGAATTTGGAGAGTTAAAAGTTTGTTAATGCTTTTTTGCAGATTTTCCTCAATTATGATGTGCAAGTTTATCATGGGCCGTTGTAACAAAATCTATTTTTGGACTGATCAGAAGACCAAGATGACTTACAGACGGCAATCTTGCATTTTCAGAGTTGAAGTTGATTGTGCTTTTTTCAGAAAGTTCTGGAGTGACTTTTCTCAAAGTTCATCTGAAGGTTCCCCTTGGTCCCTAAATATGCATATCGAAGTCAGGGACTGATTGCAAAAACCAAGATGGATGACTGGCGGTAATCTTGAATTTTCCGAGTTAAAGCTTGGAAAATTATGAGAAAGTACTGGAAAGTTTTTTTCAAATTTCACATCAATGTTTCAAATGGTGCTAGGTTAAGCAAACAGGATGGCCACAAGACAGCCATCTTAAATTTGACAGTTCAATGTTGTTATCATTATATTATATGTGTGTTCCACTCTGTCCCCTTGTTAAAAATACCCTAGGCCCTAATGAAAATTCATCCGTCATTGACAACACTTCCAATCAATGTAGAAGATTCCCATTAAGGATTTCCAAAATGGGACGGAGTAAATGTACAACTAGGGAAAACGAAGAGCAAAGAAAGTAAACGATCATCCTTTGTAGATCTGACAGAAAGTAAGCGATCATCCTTTGTAGATCTGACAGAAAGTAAACGATCATCCTTTGTAGATCTGACAGAAAGTAAACGATCATCCTATGTAGATTTGACATATTTCCTTTCGTAGATCCTTCTAGGATATCTTGTTTTAGTAATAACTTATTGTTTGAATGTTTTTCCTTTTGTCTAATCACAGGTGAGGACAGTGGCCGATTTCTGGTCTTGGCTGGAGAAGGTAATACTACCAAACATGTACCTCACCCAGAAATGGAACGGGGATCCGGCTGATTCAGAAGAGCAACGGCTTATCTCTACCCGTACGGCCTACCGCATCGGACCAATACGTATCCGTCAGCAGCGCGTTAAGAAAGGTATTTTCATTTGCATTTCTTTGTAACGAAGTTAAAGTGGAGTACATGGCGACATTAACTGGTGGTAATTCTTCTTTTTTCTTCTTTTCTGTCTATTTTTATGTTGTTGCTTTCTGTTTTGGAGAAAGAGATATAAACAGCCTCCAAAATAGCATCATAGCATTAAGCTTAAAAAAATGCTTGATTATTTGACATTGAAAGTGTTGAAACTTTGCAGTGTCAGGAAAGAAAACTTTGCGCCATTTATATCGTTGTGTATGAGGGTTTTTTTAATCCTCAGATGCTTTCGTTTTGGAACATAATATAGTGAATAATGGTAGATTTTTTCGATTTTTCTATTAACCCTTAGCTTAAACAGTAACATTAAATGGACAAAAGTCGCTACCTTAATATTACCACATTAATATAGAATAGTATATACATAAGAATAAGTCATATTTGTATATTGGATTAAAATTCATTTGAATAATTTCAAACATGTGTTTTCAGAGGGCTGCAAGGTATCGAAGTATATGCGTCATATCATAACCAGCTGTGCTGTTGACTGGGGCATTGATGACGCCGACGACCAGGAGTACCAGGAATCCTGGCGTCCACTTAACGTGAACGAATCATTTGATCACATTGTCAACTATCCATGGAAGTACCGTCCGTTCTTGAACACAGGAGGACTACCGTATGCTGGAGATCTTGGTGTTTACCCTGGTGGAGGGTATATAGTGGATTTCATCGGAAAGAGGGAACGTGCCTTTCAGTTCCTTAGTGATTTACGCCAAAAGAACTGGATTGACCGTTATACACGTTCAGTGTTCCTGATGTTCACTGTCTACAACGCTAACGTAAACATGTTTTCAACTGTTAATATTGTATTTGAACTGCCCAGTACTGGTGAATTTATGGTAAAGGAAAATATTAAAGCGTTCCGGTTGTTTTCGTATCTGGGAGGATACGGCATATTTGTTATATTTTGTGAGGTATCAGCGGCAATTAGCGTTATATACTTTTTTATCAGAGAATGCAAGAAAATCCGAAAGGAAAAGAAAATCTACTTCAAAAGTTTCTGGAATATATTGGAGCTGCTTACTATGCTAACAGCAATGGGGTGTATCGTCATGTACCTCATACGACACTTCATCACAGCTGTTGCCGTGTCAAGTGTGACGAAACTGCGAGGTAGGTATAGGCCCTCTAAATAGGGTACCTTAAACAAAAAGCGACGCTAGTGTGGTTGTCTGAAGGTGCAATATTGTTTGCACTACACGACCCTGATCTTTATGCTGGAAATTGTTTAAACATTGTATTTAAAACATTACGTTGGTTTGGTTGTATAAACAAAATTCAAAAAGTTATATCACTCTTATTCAACCTATTTTTTCATTTTCAGATAAATTCTACAATTTTGAAAAGGTCGCCATGTGGGATGAGGTTTTTGGCTATGTTATGGCATTTACCATCTTCGCATCAATTATCAAACTGATCCACATGTTCCGTTTCAACAGGAAGATGTCTATGATCGCAGGGACATTGAAAAATTCTACCAGTGACATATCTGCTTTCTCCGTTGTCTTTGTTGTGTTTCTCACAGGCTTTGCTATTTGGGGGTACATCATGTTTGGTCGCAACATGGCATCCTATAAGAGCATGATTCAATCCATCGAAACGTTACTGGCATTTTCCTTAGGAGAATACGACTACCTAGCTCTAGTCAATGCTAATCGGATCTTCGGCCCATTGTTTTTCTTCTCATTTTTCCTTTTTATTAACTTTATTCTTATAAATGTCTTCGTTACAATCCTGAACGAATCCATCGCCGCTGTCAGAAACGATGTTTCCAAGCAAAGTAATGAGTTTGAAATCGTGAATTTTGCTTGGACAAGATTTAAAAGCTGGATTGGAATAGACTTTGACAGAATATTGTTGGATGTACAAAGGAAATACATGATTGGTAAGATTGGTCATTTTTATCTTCACACTTGCACCATAATCAATTTGCCAATAATTGATGCGTTTATTACCACGTAATATAACATTTAAAGTAATCATTTCGGATAGTTTATATAAACAAGAGGCCAAGAGTGACTGTATCGCTCACCTGGAAATGTAAGCAAAATTGAAGTTGAAATAGCCAGATGTTGCTGTACATGTATTACATGGTTAGTCAGGGGTTATATTGATATGCAATTGGACAAAATCCTGTCATTCCTACAGAAAAAGAAGCAATTTGAAGAGTTTGCTATATTTCTTCTATTGGGCTCAGACCCACCGTTGATACAAAATTAGTTCCCCTTCACCCAAGAATGACCACATATGGACATTGTCCTCCTACAGAAGAAAAAGAAGATTAAAAAAAAAAAATGCTAAATAACCCCTATTGTGCCCCACCCTTTTAGGCCCAAGGGGATTCAGACCCACCATTTATACAAAATCGATTTACCTTCCCAATAGGATCCTACTAGGAAATTTGTCAAAATCTGTCAAAATACTTTCTTCCCAATGGAAGAAAAAGGATATAAAAGCTATCCCTCTTTATCCCTTATTTGGCCCGCCTCTCTGCCCCCAGGGGGGTGAGGTCCACAGTTTATACAATTTTGGTTCCCCATTCACCGAAGGGTGTTTCATACCAAATTTGGACAAAATCCTGTCATTCCTACAGCAGAAGATGGATTTTAATGAATGTTTCTCCTATTGGGACCTGCCCATCTGCTCAAAGAGGGGCCTCACTCACTGTTCATCAAAAAATATGTCACTTTTGCCCAAAGATGGTCCAGACCTATTGGGAAAAAATCCTTGAATCCCTATGGTAGAAGAAGGTATTTTAAGCTGTTACCTCTATTTCCTCTTTTGGGCCCCGCCCCTCTGCCCCCAAGTGTGTCGCACCAACTGTTTATACAAAATTTATTCCCTTGGCCAAAGAATGCTCCAGGCTTAATAATGATAAAATCCCTTAATGCCTAAGGTAGAAGAAGGATTTTAAAGGTTTTACCTCTATATCCCCTATTCGGCCCTGCCCCTCTTCCACCATGGGGCCCCCACAACCGTTTGTACAAAATTGGGTCCCCTTGGACCAAGGATACTCCAGACTTAATTAAGATGAAATCCCTTAATTCCTACGGTAGAAGAAGGATTTTAAAGGTTTTGGCTCTAGTTCCCCTATTCCGCACGCCCCTTGGCCCCCAGAGGGGCCAAACCCACCGTTTATACAAAATTTAGTCCATTTGGCCTAAGACTAACTTGAGATAAAACCCCTTAATCCCTACGGTAGAAGAAGGATTTTAAAGGTTTTGGCTCTAGTTCCCCTATTCCGCACGCCCCTTGGCCCCCAGAGGGGCCAAACCCACCGTTTATACAAAATTTAGTCCATTTGGCCTAAGACTAACCTGAGATAAAACCCCTTAATCCCTACGGTAGAAGAATGAGTTTAAAGGTTAAACCTCTATTTCCCATATTTGGCCCCGCCCCTCTGCCTCCTGGGGAGCCACACCAACATGTAGAGTTTATACAAAATTGAGACCCCTTGGCCAAAGAATGATTAAAACTAAATAAGGACAAAAACCCTTTATCCCAACGGTGCAAGAAGGATTTTAAAGGTTTAACCTCTATTTCCCCTATTTTGCCCCGCCCCATCTGCCCCCAGGGGGCCACACTAACAGTTTATACGAAATTGAGACCCCTTGGCCCAATAATGATTAAAACTAAATAAGGATAAAACCCCTTTATCCCTACGGTAGAAGAAGGATTGTAAAGGTTTTACCTCTATTTCACCTATTCGGCCCGCCCCTCTGCCCCCGGGAGAGTCACACCAACAATTTGTGAACAATTGAGTCTCCTTTCACCAAGAATGCTTCAGACTCTGTTCCCCCCCCCCCAGACCCTATTTGGCTCGCCCTTCTGCTCCCAGGGGGGGCCACAGCCACTGTTTATACAAATTGAGTCCCCTTGGCACAAGGATGCTTCAGACTAAATAAGAATGAAATCCCTTAATCCCTACGGTAAAAGAAGGATTTTCCCCTAATCCGCCCGCCCCTCTGCCCCTAGGGAGGCCACATCCACCGTTTATACAAAAGTGAGTCCCCCATGTCCCAAGATTAAATTGGGATAAAATCCCTTAATCCCTACGGTAAAAGAAGGATTTTAAAGGTTTAACCTCTATTTCCCCTATTCCGCCCGCCCCTCTGCCAAAAGGGGGGCCACACATACGGTTTATACAAAATTGAGACCCCTTGGCCCAAGGATGCTTCAGACTAAATTGTGATAAAATCCTTGATTCCCTATGGTAGCAGAAAGATTTATAAGCTTTTACCTCTATTTCCCCTATTGGGCCCTGACCCTCTGCCCCAGGGGGGGGGGGGGGGGGGGGAGCACAATCATAGTTAACACAAAAGTCGGTCCCTTTGGCCCAAGGATGCTCCAGACTTAATTAAGATAAAATCCCTTAATTCCTACGGTAGAGGAAGGATTTTAAAGATTTTACCTCTATTTCCACTTTTCCGCCCGCCCCTCTGCCCCCAGGGGGCCAAACCCATTGTTTATACATAATTGAGTCACTTTGACCCAAGTCTAAATTGAGATAAAATCCCTTAATCCCTACGGTAGAAGAAGGATTTTAAAGGTTTTACCTCTTTTTCACCTATTCGGCCCCGCCCCGCTGCCCCGAGGAGAGCCACACCAACAGTTTGTCCAAAATTTAGTCTCCTTTGCCCAAGAATGCTTCAGACTAAATTAGGATAAAATCCTTGATTCCCTATGGTAGCAGAAGGAGTTTGAAGGTGTTACCTCTATTTTCCCTATTTGGCACGCCCCTCTGATCCCAAGGGGGACACACATACGGTTTATACTAAATTGAGTCCCCCTGGACCAAGGATGCTTCAGACTAAATTGGGATAAAATCCCCTAATCCCTACGGTAGAAGAGGGATTTTAAAGGTTTTACATCCAAATCCCGTATTCGGCCGCATCTCTGTCCCCAGGGGGGCCACACCCACAGTTTACACAAAATTGAGTCACCATGGCCCAAGGATGCTCCAGACTAAATAATGATAAAATCCCTTAATCCCTACGGTAGAAGAAGGATTTTAAAGGTTTTACGTCTATTTCCCCTATTCGGCCGCCTCTCTGCCCCTTGAGTCTTCTTGGCCTAAGGATGTTCCTGACCAAATTTAGTCAAAATATATTCGGCCGTTCAGTACTAGTAGCGTTTTAATGGAAAAGTTGATGGACTGACGGACGAACGGACGACGGACGCTGCGGTATGACATAAGCTCACCATGGTCCTTCGGACCAGGTGAGCTAAAAATATAAACCAATGAAATAATATGCGACATGTTTTGTTAGATTTTTGTGATATTTATAAAGGTACGTCGATTGATAAACTATCGTGTATGATGTTGCAGGTAAATGTGACGAGGCGCCCCCTACCATTGACGATTCCATGAAAAACATCGCCAGTAAGCTCGACACTATTATCAGCCGACTGGAAAAACTGGACAGAGCAGACGGAGGAAAGCAGGAGGGAAGACTGCAGCAAAGTCCCCCCCAACTCACCATTCGCAGTGATACTCCCCTCTTCACCAGACTTTTCCCTACTCTTGGTCGGCAAAAGATCAATCTTGAATAATGAAACACGATACATATTTTTGATAGATAATATAGAAGTAAAGATCACAGCCAAGCCTTTTTATGTGGAAACAAAGTCCCGCAACTTATAAAAATGAGAGGAAATGTTCAGCTTTGGAATGTATATTATACTGAAACTCAAGAATGTATCACGCTGATGATAAACATATTGTCGGAGATGGGATTCCCCGATTCTACATATATGATCGTCAACCCATCCCCTCCCCCAGTATAAAATACTTTTAAAGACCGTCTATTAATAAAAAATATAAATATATGTTTCGTGATACTATCGCAAGTAGTTGTAATGCTAACTTTTCGGTATATATATTGATTGTTAACACTTAGTCGACACCTCTTGATGAAGATAGTGTCAATAATATTGTCAAAACACAATGAAAATCTCTCATATATTTAACTGTTCTTATCTGACGTTCACAATTTTAATTCTATAGCAGCAACATAAACACAATGTTGCTTAAAAACTGATAATCACGAGAACCCATCTTTAACAAATGTTTATGTTGTCGGAAGGATGGCTTCTATAGAAATTGTACAACTCCGTGTAGGTTTTTAAAATAATGACTTCACTATGAAATCATGCTTTTGTTGCATCACACCGACGTTGTTTGTAATTCATCTTTGTAAAACAGTCACATATACCTCATCTTTTTCCATACAGTCTGTTCTATTACGAAAGTATTATTAAATATTTACCAAACGAACGAGGTTTTTTTTGTAGTAAAACCAAAATCACTATGTGGAATGAAAAGTTTCTAATTGTGCATGCTAAAATCTGGGCCAACAACAGTGATTAATAAAAGTTGAAATAGCTTGCATAATTGTTGTAAAAAAAAGTTATATTATGTCATGTATATACACTGTAATGATTTATAAAAATGGTGCCCTTCGGTGTTAATTTGGGAAAATGAAAAGTATACAATTACCTTGTAATTGATTTTAATGTAGTAATAATACATGAAATTGTTATGTTAGTATTAAGACAGAGGAATTCGATATTATTTGTAACCAAAAGAAGGTATGTTTTATTAACGATAAGTCAGACCTAACAAAAGCTGCGCGGAAATAAGTAAGTATGTTATACTACCTTTTTACTTAACATACTGGTTACTTCCTAATCTAAAACATTCCTTTTTCATTATTTTTGTTTCATCTTTTTCCCCCTTTTAATGTCAAAGATCCTTGTCGATTACGGATGAATAGACAAAAGCGGGGAAGGCCCTGTTATATTGACTTGAAATTCCTAAGTGTATTAGATCATTTAGGTTTCGGAACTAACGTTATAAAATCGGTATATCGGATTACATCATACAAGCCGAGTATTGTTTCACTTGTAATATTAGTTTTGCTGTCCGGTTCAACTCATATGGGTTATAGTTTGTCCTTTTAGAGGTCACTATGTTGCATTATATGTTGTATACTAGCTGTGATACACTGTTGTTTACTGTTACTTGTTATGACGCGCCAGTGGATATCGAAGATTACTGATAGACACGTGAGAGGTACGAAACAGACCGGATTGATAGACACACAAGACAGACTGAATTGATAGTCACACAAGACAGACCGGATTGATAGTCACACAAGACAGACCGGATTGACAGAAACACAACACAGACCGGATTACTAGACAAACGAAACAGACCGGATTGGTAGACACACGAAACAGACCGGATTGATAGACACACAACACAGACCGGATTGATAGACACACAAGACAGACCGGATTGACAGAAACACAACACAGACCGGATTGATAGTCACACGAGACAAACCGGATTGGTAGACACACGAAACAGACCGGATTACTAGACAAACGAAACAGACCGGATTGGTAGACACACGAAACAGACCGGATTGATAGACACACAACACAGACCGGATGGATAGACACACAACACAAGCCGGATTGATAAACACACAACACAGACCGGATTGATAGACACACGAGACAGACCGAAATATTTAACGGAAATGAATGACCAGACATACAGACACAAAAGACAGACCGGATCGGTACACCAACGAGACAGATCGGATTTGTAGTCACATGAGATGAACCAGATGGTCGACACATGGGACAGAACGGAGTGAAATACTGGCAAATAAATGTGCATTGAAAATGAAAGTTTTGTTTTAATCGCTGCGGTAATTTGTTCGATATTTATTTTATTTGTTCGATATTTATTTTTTTAGAGTCATGAATTTGTGTATCGTGATGTTTAATGCGTCTAATGGAGCACGGAGAATTCCTGATGTTTTCTTTTACAGACTGAACTACGTAGTTACCATAGTCGCTGCTTATGTCATCTTTAGTTCTTTAATCCAGCTGTAAAAAAAAAACTTTTTCATTCGCTAATCAATCCTTGTTATTGCTCAATTCTGTTTGAAAGATCTTTTCCTTTGGCTAACATTTACTTGTATGAAAGTTCACCGCAGACCATACAGACAAGAAAAACAATTGATTCAGATGCTTTATTTCTTACTATGTAACATTTACAGTTATTTAATTTGTAATAAGATACAATTTCCATTGGATTCATTTTATTTGCGAAAACGATCAATACCTGATACATATATATTTAATATACTTCAAATATGCCAATTTTAATATTTAACTGTGAATACCATTTCAAAATTTGTAAGATTCCCATACAGTTTTGAATGTTGTGGGCCTTTTTAAAAATTGTTGCGACAATGCCAAAAAGCAGAAGTTTTATTGGTGTATGAATTTGTGGAAAGTCACAATATTTACGTGCTTGTGAGCATATACAATAACAGAGACACTATAGTTGATGCATGCACTGGTAACAAGGAAGGAATCAGTCGACATATTTTAAGATTATGTCGAAATAAAGCTTTGTTATGATTTTGCGGAGATAGGAATCTCGCATGTATGACCTCTGGCTATTTATCGTGATAATCCCAAGGGGTGATATCAGCTTGCCATTTGTGGATGCAAAGGAAATTATCACGTGATATACTAATAGCTTACTCTTATTAGATTGCTCACCAATATAATTCGATTTGCGTTTTGTATGTTGGCCATATAACGAGGTTAATAAGTGGCAAGTCGATCCAACGAGGTGAGATGATATACTTTGAAGTTGCCCGAAAATAATCTTGGTAAAATTCTAATTAAAAAGTTCTATCACTGACACAAACATAATCATTATTTTGTGATGTTTTGTAAAATTCTGCTCCCCATCAAGTTGTAAATTGATGTTTTCGATGGACGTTAAAGACATATTGGCAGAGGATTTGCAGTATATTTACAATTTCTGTACGGAACTCTCAACATAATTCTAAAGCTAAAAGTGCAATATATATACACTAACTTGACTTTTGCAATCGTGTCTTTTTCACATGACAAGATAACAATTTCAGCAATATTTTCACTCTATAAATGAAAATACCTCCATTTTGTATAGTGTTTGTAGGTTTGAATGAAGGTACATTATTTTTATGTATAAATGACTTTTTCAGTTTTACGGTCTTGTGTTATAAACGACAACAGGATTAGAAAAAAGAATAGTACTTCTTCGTATAATTTTATTTACTTTTCTTATTCCCCAGCTTATCACTCAGCCGGGTCGTCTGTAACAATCAAAATGTACTGAAAGTGACTCGTTTGTATAACGAGACTGAAACATATCTCGAGGTAACGTGCTGATACGCCAATATGAAAAGTAATGCAGTATAGATTTTAAGTAGTAGAAGTTTCAAACGTGGTGAACCATCCTAAGAATTACTGTTAACATCAACACATCTAAGTCAATCCTAGCACACCCTTGATTTTCTTCCACATGAACCCAACTATCTCGTAGTCGTTCGTGCCTTGTTCGACATTAGCCTTGACCTCTGTGAATGCATCGCCAATAATGGTGAAGAACATACTCATTAGACCCACATACACGACACCCACAAACGTGAAGAAGAAGAGCGGTCCGAGGACCTTGTTCACGTCAGCCATGGCGGCAAAGTCAAAGGTTCCGAGGGTGAAGGCGAACATTGACTCAGCGGAACCCAACAAACTGGCGTAAGCAAGAATAGAAGTTCCAAATAGAAGATGTCCACAAGCTGTAAACGCGAAGAAATATAACGCAAAGGCTATCGAGAAAACCTTCAGATCTTTGGTTGCTACTTTGATTGTGTCCCCAAGCATGTTCATTTTCTTGTTGAACTGGAGCAGTTTTAGGAACTGGACAGTAGCCAAGAACACAACACACGCCATCATCCATCCGAACAGCTCATCATACATAGCCATGGATTGGAAGTTTACATAGTCAGCTGTAACCGAAAATTGAAACGGATTATAATTGAAATAAAATACAATTATTCAAACGAAAAGCTTTAAAGGTAATTTAGACAAATATCTCTTTATCAGCAACATAAAAGTACAGAATCGAAACAAAACGTCGATAGACAAGAACAGAAATCGAGCAAAACACAAGGAATAACATCCGGATCCAATACAGACACAAATATGAACGAGATAAGCGTGTTGTGCATTGCAAGTAGCATCTCATAACATGTGTACATTTAAATGGATATGAATATATATAAATTGTAGCAAGAGTATCACAAGGCGGAACAACATATGCCTGTCCCATTTAAAATGACAACATATAATCCTTCTTATACACTAGTCTACCTAAATGAATGGAAATATAGAAAATATAAGAAGAATCAACATTTGGTCTGTATTACTCAGCACAGTTGAGAACATTGGATGTGATGAAAGGATAAAACAAACTTTACTTAATCAGCTTAGGCTGAAGGAATATTTCATATATTCTTTATGACCATTAAAAAGTTTATTTGCATCGCGATTGCTTCCCTTCTGTCACATTTCAAACCATGAAATTAAAATTGTCAATAATTGATTCATCTAACAAGATTAAAACCAAATATATCTATGATTGCTTATATAACTGACAGTTTAAGCTATTAAACTAAGCGTAAATATTGACCACGTCTCCAAGAATCCTGTCATATTTGATTAAGCTAATTCGTTGGCCAATCAGACGGTAGTATGCTAGTAAATTTTGTGCAGTTTTTGATAACCTTCAAGCTTAGGTCTTATAACAGTATAATATAAATATTGACCAAGTTTTATCAGAATCCGGTCATATTTGACTAAATTATTATGAATCAACCATCACCAAATTGGAGTTCAGTATGCTAATTAATTATGCACGGATTTTCTCAATGTTTAACTTGACCTCAGTCTTTGTATACTGTACTTGTATATATGCATAAGTTTCATCAAACTCAAACGATAATAGGCAAATTATCGTACGGAAACCAAAGTGTAAACTACGTATGTATAAGGGCATTCCTTCGCAAATTACAGTCGGATAATGGAGGTAACCGAACTTTCTTCTAAGAGCATGGCAATTAACCTTCCTATAGAGTTTGAAGCGTTGGAAATTACTCGAGATATAGCGGACACTGTTTTTTCGATTGTATAAAGAGTAAAATCTCCGTAAATTAATATTTAAAAAGTATATACATACCCTTGTCAGGATCCTTTAATGCTCGCATCGTTAACTCAGAAAGAATTTGTTTGAAAGCATACATTGCGATGACGGCAATGCAGAAACACAAAAGAATGAATTCAAGCAGGTTCCAGAAGCGGCCAAAGTACTTCATCTTTTCTTTTCGTACTTTCTTGATGCAACGAATGAAGAAATACAGACTGAAGCAAGCGTAGATCACTTGGAATATGACGACCAGAATACCGAAGGCTCCCACATAGTTCAGCAATCGGAACACCTGTAGGAAAGATTCAAGACATTGACAATGGAGAAAACATCAGTGGTAATTGTTAAATATTTTATTAACTGTTGAATCAACGGGAAAAGAGATACAGATCATTTGAAATACAATACCGGTGGACTGAGGAACAGTGAAAAATAAACACTCTTGGATGAAGATCAATCACACGTTTTAAAAACACTAAATACTTAAATAAACACCATTTTCAAATCAAATTTACCGTTTAACCACTTAGAATTCAAATGAATTCATACTCTTCATTTCCTATAAAAACAGTATATGATTTAATGAATGTTCATCATACCTTGAATTCGATCCTGGCTACAGCTCCACCAGATGATACAAACTCAGTCAGCAGGATGGCAGAACTGAACAAGTTGATGTTAGGATTATATACAGCAAATTCAAGGAACACGCCTCGAGTATAAACATCCAACCACACATCTTTCTTCAGCTTTTCAATGATCCGGTTTGTCCATGTGACATTGCGTTCGAAGAGAGCAACGTAGCCACCTCCCTTATAAGTTGAGATAGTGCCCATGTAGGGAGCACTTTTCAATTTAACTGAGTTCTGATACACCCATGGCGACTTTTCCTCCTTTAATGCCGTGATGTTTTCCTCTGGAGGCTTTTTCCAGCCGGGGAGATAGTGTTTTGCATCGTCATCAGTCCAGCCATATTCATCACGACAGTGTTTGATCATCGTGGATAACGCTGGATTTACAACGCAAGTGTCTATAACAAACAAGAGGTATATGGGACTAAATCACTAACTTGGTCGTTTGTTTTTGATTTTCAATTTGTTGAATACAGTATATGATGACGTTAAGGATAGTCTTTTAAATAATCATACTAACAATTTTCCCCTTGAACCTTCCCCACGCCCTGATCCTCTGTTAATACAACATTTAATCCCTTTGGAAAATGGGTCATCTCGAGACCACATGAGGTAAAATTACTTAACCGTTACTGAAGGAATACGAATTAAAAATTAATTTACTATGTTGAGTAAATCGGCCTAATAGTTAATGGAGAGTTATGCGGACAAGGATTTTTAACAAAGAGCTATACTTCCATAAAAAAGGGTCGGAATGAAAAAGTGCTACCTATATGCACGAAGTCAGAATGAAAATACTATATCTGTTAAGTTTCATTGAAATTCGGACAGTAGTTAAGGAGGCGGAATAAGTTTTTTAACAAAGGGCCATAACTTCTTTTAAAAGGGTCGGAATGAAAAAAACACTACTTGGATGCAAAACGTCAGGGGGTAGTTACAATATATGTAAAGTTTTTTTGAAATCGGCCCTGTAGTTTAGAAGAATTTGTCTGGACAAGGATATTTCAACAAAAGGCTATAACTCCTTTTAAAAGGGCTGGTATAAATACCTAGATGCACAAAAACTTAGTTATCATAAATAAAAACGTTCGTTGAAATTGGCAAAGCAGTTTTGTTGGAGTTGTCCAGACATGGAAATTTCAACAAAGGCCCATACCTTCGAAAGAAATCGTTCAGAATAAAAAAAACCAATTGCAGGAGGTAGTTATCATTTCTGGAAACTTTCGTTGAAATCGGTCCATTTCTTTAAAAGGAGTTGTCTGGACAAAGATTTTTTACGGCCAGAGAAGCTGATTCCAGTATACCCCCTAACTTCGTTGCTGGGATATACATATGGTTAAGTTTCGTTTCCCATATTGAAGCAGAACAAAACATATATTCCCCGTATAGGTACTATACCCGAAAACGTCTATGCTTTTCTACTCAAGGGAAGAACACCATTCATTCTAACAAATTAGGCCTCTTAGACCAGGGATCATACAGACAAAATTGGGCAAAAATCCCTTATTCTGACCATGTCCAACTGCCGCCGCGGGAACCACACCTTCCGCGTGTACAAAGATGTGTCCCTTGACCAAAGGATATCCCGAACCGAATAAGATTTAAATGTTTTAAACTGTTTGATATGATGAGCTGAAATATGAGCACTAATTTCCCGGGTAAGGACGCTCCTCTTTAACCCATAAAGAGGGATAACCCACGTTTAAACGAACCATCTTGGCCCAAGGATGTGTCAGAATAAATATTTCAACCGAATTGATTCGTAGGATTTTCAAATTTAACTAATTCTGCTCTTAGCAATACAGTACTTAAGATTAAAGTTAGCCAAATCCCATTAGGCATTATGAACCAATAGCTCTTGGTCAATCACCTGTCGAAAAGATTGTTGGCTCATCGATTATTTGCTGCGAAAACATAAAATGGAGAATAGGACGAACAAGAAAATCAGCCTGTGAAATCTGTATGCCCATACTTTTAAAGAATTTCTAAAGAAACACTGTATGTGACAATGGACTGTACTATTTACAACCAGAAAATATCAGCAATGCTTACAATTACCCGCCCCTTACTAGATCTTTGGTGAAAATCTATTTATAAATACGTTTTACCGTGACCTTTTAATTTCAATTTCAAATAATTTTATTGTCAAAAGACAAGCGGATTTGGCAACAGGCCTAGTCTATTAAAGAGAAGCTGTTAAAAGAGCATACGTAAGAAATAAAAAAAATAGACAGGTAACGAATACAGCATAACGACACCGTGAAACAACCATTTCAATGGTACTTGTACTTACTTTCCTTGACCCTTAGTTGCCGTAGACGTGGTAGCCCAACACGACGGGATTCCATATCTTTTATACACCGCTTGTCCCACCAGGGTTTTACTTCGGTACCGTTGGCGTAGTGAGTGGCGTACAAGTTTGGTATCAGTTTATTCTCCAGCCAATTCCAGTAATCGGTCACTGTAGAAATCTAAAGGAGTAGATATTAAAATGTCTGGGACTGAGACCATGGTAAGGAAAATACATACCTGTAAGCAATACCGATCGATCCTAGTCAAGGTGTGACCACTTTGTGATGGAGGATAAAACACTCAACTTAAGTGTACTATAAAAAAAATGTCAAAAAAAGAAGATAATGCGAAAGTGTAAACAAGTCGCATGGAAACTGTAACATAAGGACAGTCAAATATGACGCTTTGGTAATAGCTCACATTGCCTTTATACATCTATGTATCGAATTTGAGATAAAACAGAAAATATCTGTCATTTTGTACAATGACCAAACAGATGTCATATACGAGTTTCAGTTCTAAATATCGTGATATATCTAATAATCATTTTGAGCAAAATCGAATTATAAATGAATTTCGACCAATCAGAAGCCCGTTATGATTTTTTTTTTGTTGAAAAAGTCCACGTCTGATTTTTCAGACTTATGGATTGTCACATATCTGTATAAAAAATATATGTTTTAAAATAGTAAATCCCATATCTGTATCAAGTGATTATATATCGAATGTAATATTTACCTTCTCGAATCCGCTACCTAGGGTATTTTTGAGATTGTCAGCCATCAGGAAGGAATCAGAATCTCGGGTCTGGTAGGATAAGAAGAAGAGAATTAGCACAAACAATGCATATATGCCTATCTCCCTTATAACCTCTTCCATTTTCAGTTCCATCATTCGAAGCTGTCGTTGCTCTCCTAGCGTTTTCATATCCGGCGGTTTAAGTTCACTGTTTTGAACCTTTCTTCTCAGTGCAATTTCTGTTAAAAAATAATACAAGTAATATTAACGCAGGGGTTTCTTGACGAAAACAATAACTGTGTTGATGGTATACACCAATGTGATGAAATGGACTTTTATTTATCGAGTGAGGATCAAAAACGTAATGCCAGAATCCTGAATGGAGTACACTTGACAACAGAAAACAATAGTGTTGCCATTGATTAGTCTGCTAGAACGATAATATCAAAACGTTGACAACCACAGGTGTTTACCGTAAATGTACCCCTTATTCTTTAGTTAATGAACAGTTAATCCAACCTATTTTCCAAACAATAGTCGAAAACTTTCTTATGATCATTAAATCAAGTATATAATAGCATTGGAACACTGTATACTCCATACATACAATGGATGGAAAATAGATTTTCCAAGGACTCAAAAGATTTTGCTCGAACTTGATCATTCCTTTCTCAAGAATGTTCATTGTATCAGAAAACTCGACTTTTCCACTTTTTCCACTAACATATCTACTACCGAACTGAAGATTTTTATTTCTTAACAGTAACACCCCTGTTTCCCCACCGTTCGATGTTAACATGAAACAATTGTTCGGTATTCACGAGCTTGCTCGGAATATCATGATTTGAAGTTGACTGCTGACGGACAAACTTAAAAACAGGGTTTCCAGAGATGCAGTTTGACGAAAAGGATGGGCAAGTTTTATGGTCGTCATCATGAACTCTTTGGGAAATAGTTTAAGCCTTGTGTGAGTTGCTTGAAGACAAATCCATCAATTTACATTGGTAGAATGCAATATAGCACAATGGACGTATCACAACTACTTACCGTCAATAGCAGTATTGCTCTTTGCAGTGAACTCTTCGTCGTGGGCTGCTATTACATTATTAAGATCTTCGCCGGGATCTTCGTCATCTAGATCAGGCTTCTTCAGGATACAGGCAATAAAAGCGACCAGGACGAACACCTACAAAATATAGAATGCAAAAACCCGCAAACGTTAGGGGAATGCATAGGTACTTAACAAATAATCATATGGAACAACACGAATATTTAACATAAAGAGGAAGTTAGAGTTTGCTTGCATAAAATCCGAGCAGGTAAATTTACGGGTGCTTGGCAACACAAAATCTTATCAAGAGACGAATACATAAACAATTGCAACGATGTGAGTTCATGACTACAAAGGGGAGCAAACAAACAGATAAATTAGGAATGACTATGACTTCAAGGAGACCACGGTCCTTGACGAGTATAAATACACCTGACACGAATGGTCCACAAGCTAAAGGAGTATACACGTACAGTACGCGCATGGTTATATTGGTTTGTAAATACGACATTATTCCTTTCTGCATGGTTACAGGAGACAACAATCCCTTCATATAAATGACACTCTGTATTTTAGAATATGCAGATCTTGTATTGGTCATCTGTACCCAGTCATTGTGCAAGTTTTACCACTGGTTTAAAATTAAGTACTAGTAATACTTGTTTCAGAGAAACAGACATCGTAACGCTAAGTAAATGATATAATATAAGGATTTTATAAATACGTTTTACCTTGACCTTTCAATTTCAATTTCAAATAATGTTATTGTCAAAAGACAAGCGGATTTGGCAACAGGCCTAGTCTATTAAAGAGAAACTGTTAAAAGAGTATACATAAGAAATTAAAAAAATAGACAAGTAACGAATACAGCATAACGACACCTGAAATTATATATTCAGTTAATTCAACCTCCAATCAACAACGCTGAAAGGTTTTACATTTCAATATCAAGAACGCATTTATAAGATGTTAGTTTTTCTTTACTTAAACAAACATCAGAGGGGCCCATCCTATCGGTATTATTTGTAATATGCCATCTATTGGGGCTCTCAAAAGGGAATTATTATATTCACCTGATATGCATGCTTACAACATGAGTCTTAAATATCATTTTATTGTTTACATGCGCTTATGCTAATTAAGACATTTTGCAGGTAAATTGAACTCGTATATATTTGATTTTCAGCGAAAATACTGCCCTGTCTGTATGTGACGTTCTCCTGTTGAAGATTGTAATCACTTCTTCCACTGTCCTTGCTATTCTAGACAAACATAACTACTCCTTAACTCCATATCTTCGTCATACTATTCCACTAAATAAGTGATAGGAGACGATGGTTTCTACCCTGATGAAAAAAGGGAGATTATGTTCCTCACCTTGATTGGTTGTACGACTAAAACGGATTGGAAAAAGGACATGAGGAAGGTAGTCAACCATTCATTGGCCTTCTCTGGTCCCCACTCCATACTGTACAGAATGGTGAAGAAGCCGGATGACGTGATGCTAAAGAAACACACTGGAACACGAAAATCGATACGATATAAGAAACATACTGCATGACAAAAACCGATATAATACGGTAAATTTCCTCCCAATTTTACGACGTAGTTCAGAAGCCAAATACCAGAAGGATCATCAATTAAAATCTGTAGTGATTCACACTTCGTATCAAAGTTTGCCCCTCTCTCTTTATATAAACATTACAATTTCAATGCTACACATTTCATTTCATGTTCACACGTGATATTGGGTAGATGAAAATATATTGGTTGAAGGACTACTCACAAACCCATGCAATGTATATGCACCAATGAGGTAGAGTTCCAGGCTTCTTCTTCCTTTTCTTTTTCTTTTGAGCAGAGTCTGGTATCCCAGCAATTTTCATTTCTCGAACACATTCATCTGGATCGGGTTCAGATTGGTACTTAGATTTATGACGCTGAAAGTTGATGAAGTTTGTAATTGATTCTTTGAACCTCTGCCACCGACTTTTCATAGGAACACGGCCCCATGTCTGCGATTGCGAAGCAGACACACTCTTCCATTTGCCCCTTTTTGGGACCTGTTGGTTTTTATGCATGACACCATTTTTCCTTGGGCGACATTTCCGAAAAAACGTCATCAGAACGAAATTCACCGGAAACACTATCATGGTGCTAGCAAAGCTAACGAAGAGCTGAAAAAATATCACATCTAAATGTTATAATAAAATTAGATTTTTTTAAAGAAAAGCAAATAAACGGTCGAATCACATTAACGTTATTTTCATTCAGTATCTACACTTCTATTAAATCATATGTTATATTAGAACAAAAGTTGCAGCAACAAATATCAGGCAGTTTACCTGCTGAAGTGTGAAGGATATCGGTCCTATTTTCATGGCAGATGTGTTAGAGGACTTGTCTTCAGATTTGAACCACATGGCGTTGGTAATCATGGTCATAAAGAGAAGGGAAACACAGCACGAGATTCGCTGTACCCGGGTAAAGTTACTTCGTGTCGGGCGGGAGAACACGGAAAACCATAAATGGTCGTTTGTCAACTTCTTCTTGACTGAGGACGAGAACAGTTGTTTAAATGCTGCTAGATCCTCTAGACCAGCAACAGGCAAAATTCTATCTACCATCCCGTCGTCCTCCTCCACAGCCAGCCACCGGTCACACAGGAAAAAGTACCTTACAAACGAAACACTTGTTAAGTATACAAGTTACCTATAATATAATTACCTAAAGCATGCGAATGCTAACTCCCCGTCACATTTGTAAACTTCTGGCATATTTACTAGTGTCTCAAGACAGCTTTCAGAATGATTGTTGGTTTATAAAGAAAAATAAGTTCGCGGTGTTTCAATTAAAATTCCTGACAGACTTGTTAGTGTTTAGAAATATTTGTTAGTGTATCTGGTACGGTTACGGACACGCTTGCTGATGTTTGCTAGTTTGTTTAGTTTACTCGTTAGTGTTTTTAAGGTAGTGTAAAAATCGACTTCCAGACATAGTATTCAAAATAAACTTCCTGGTGTACATGCCGATGTTCCAAGAATCTTTGTAGAATATTTGTAAGTGTTCGAAAACAAATCCTGAAATATTTTCTAGTGTTTCAGAATGCTAAATGGTGTAGAAAAAAACCTTCCTAACATGATGGATACTGTTTGATGAATCTTTTGAGACTATATTTTTAACATACTCATTATTGGTGTTCGGATTTTTTTCTTAGAATAATTGTTAGTGTTTGAGACAATATCCTGGCATAGTTATTAGTGTTTTTAGGAAACTAACTAGAGTAAAACGTAGATATGTGCTTTTATATGTAAAGTGTCTACGTCATCAGTGTCTCCGATCTGTATTACATGTAACTAGACATATAAATAAAAGGCAGCTAATCCGCCAACCCGCTCCCATATAAAAAAGAACTGTAAGCTAAAGGCTAACTTAGATAAGGTATTCATAGTCACCCACCAGTAATGATTTTATTATTTACTGAGCTGTACACATGTTTTAGTATGCCCGATATATATGTCAAAGTGACATACTTTCTGTACTCCCTCCCCATGCCAAAACCTACTTGCACACGAAAATCGTGTTAGCCCAGGTAAACCAGCATAATATATCCGAAAACAAATGTTTCAAGAGGTTGGGGTAAAAGGTAAAATAGTAGGTCACAGTGACCTACTTTTTGTATTTGACATTTCACCTTTCCATACAGAGACACACATATTTCATTCTGATTATAAGAATATACATATCCTTCTGCTGCTGTCAGTGCTATAACATAAGTAAAAGTTTAGTAATAGCGGGGACAAACTAAGATATCCTCCTCAAGCCGCCATATCCCCCCCCCCC